ATACTGAGCCTCCGCATCCTAACTGTGCGCGCGGCAGCGTCATAGGAAGCCGGGGGGAGGCTCCGTATTTATTTGACTAGAAAGCCTTGGGGAGTGTATCTCTTGCAGGGACAGACACCGGCGGGCGGGGGTGGGGGAGGGGGGGGAGAGGCGGACTAAGAGCCCACCCTTTTTCTTTTCAGTTCTCAATCAGGTCGCCACGCAGACAATATACCGAGACTTCATGCTTCGTCTTGGGAGTTGGTCGGTTGCGTGTGACTTGATTTCACCATGTCTGGTCGCGGTAAGGGTGGTAAAGGCTTGGGGAAGGGAGGTGCCAAGCGCCATCGCAAAGTGCTTCGGGATAACATCCAAGGCATTACCAAGCCAGCTATTCGTCGCTTGGCTCGACGCGGGGGGGTGAAGCGTATTTCGGGCTTGATCTATGAAGAGACCCGCGGAGTGCTGAAGGTGTTCTTGGAGAACGTGATCCGCGATGCTGTCACTTACACTGAACATGCCAAGCGAAAGACGGTAACGGCTATGGATGTGGTTTATGCCCTGAAGCGCCAGGGTCGCACTCTCTATGGTTTTGGCGGCTAAACGGGTCACTAAAGTCAGCAGGATAACACAAAGGCTCTTTTAAGAGCCACCCACACTTTCACAATAAGAGTTGTGATTCTTGTGTTCTCATGCTGTGATGTGAAAACTTAGCATAGAAAACTATTGAACTTACACATTTACACTAAATATGTTTAGATGTAAGGAACAATTAGCGCTTTGGTTAAAGTAGCATATGTGTTTTTCAGCCGTAACATTGGTGGTGGCTTCCTTGAATGAGAGTATTTGTTAGAGGAAAAAAACGATAGAACTTTTACTGAAAACGAGTGGCTGCCTTTCGGTTGTAGATATTAATTTTTGCATTAAGAGAGCATTTACTTGGAGCTAGTATACCTGATGACAGCTTCTGTGCCTCCAGATACAGCGTCTTTGTGCATTTCCCCTGGCGATGCGTCTCCGGCAATGTACTCAGAAATGTCATTTACAAAAGAGTTCATGATTCACATGGCCTTGGAAAAGATACCCGTGTCATAGAATCATAGAATATCAGGGTTAGAAGGGACCTCAGGAGGTCATCTAGCCCAACCCCTGCCCAAAACAGGACCTAATCCCCAACTAAATCATCCCCGCCAGGGCTTTAAAAACCTCTTAAGGAAAGAGTGTCAGGGTGAACTTGGTTCAGCACTTTGTAAACATAGATTGAATAACTTTCCTTCTTGGTCTTCCTACGTTTTTTTGTCACTAAATCTATCACTATTAGAAGCTCAAATTAAATTAAATCAAATTTAATTTCTTAGAAAATTATTTGTATCCGTAACCAAAAGCTCTTTTCAGACCTACTTTGTTTTTCATAAGAGTTGTATGTACTTTTCAATTGATTTTTTAAAAACAAATTGCAAAAAAGTAACAAAATGTAGCGGGTTATTGGGCTTAAAAACCCAAATTTCGCTAATATTGTCCTTTGCAATCTGTTACATATTGACAGCAATTTATAAGATTTTTTAAAAATATTTGAAGGTAAAAGCATTTTTACACTGGATATTTTAAATTCCTAGTTTATCTGTACTGTAGAGATCTTCGCATTTAAAACAGGAATAGTAGGTATAAGAACCTTAAAACCTAAAAAAAAAGAAAACCTTAAGGTCACAAGTTAATTTTAAGAGATGTCTCCTACATTATGAAAATAATTCAACTCTCATTGTGAAAGTGTGGGTGGCTCTTAAAAGAGCCTTTGTGTTATCCTGCTGACTTTAGTGACCCGTTTAGCCGCCAAAACCATAGAGAGTGCGACCCTGGCGCTTCAGGGCATAAACCACATCCATAGCCGTTACCGTCTTTCGCTTGGCATGTTCAGTGTAAGTGACAGCATCGCGGATCACGTTCTCCAAGAACACCTTCAGCACTCCGCGAGTCTCTTCGTAGATCAAGCCCGAAATACGCTTCACCCCCCCGCGTCGAGCCAAGCGACGAATAGCTGGCTTGGTAATACCTTGGATGTTATCCCGAAGCACTTTACGATGGCGCTTA